TCATTGTTGTATTAACCTAGCATGTATCGCAGACTACTGTGTCTCTGTGCAGCTCTCTTCATCGTGCCACTTGAGAATCATGAGCTTGCTACAAGGGGTTGAACATGTGCAATAATGCCTATAATATATGAGAACATACTGTAGATCAGAGCTTTATTTATGTATAGATGTATTGATGTTATAGTTTTGATTTTCTTTAATGTTTTTTAGGCAGTGGGGGGGGGGAAATGAAACATCAGTCTGCTTACTGTGGCAAAAGGGACCATTATGACTTATTCCTGGCAGGTGCTGCAATTCAGTCAACAGAAAATATTCTCTCTCAGCTGGTGGGACATTTGAGAGATTGTTGTTAGTCATAAGAACGCCAAAAACAAAAATCCCTTCCCAGTTACTTTAGTGGATTAGGGCATTTTTGCCACAAACCCCAGGATGTGGTTATAGTAAAAACTTCTATGAGAAATAAGCTATGACAACATTACATATTCACTATTTTTAAGGTCTGTTCTGTCTTGATATTGTTGACATAAATGCACTAGTCCCATTACAATAGCCTGAACTATTATTAGAATATTTCCATCAGCACTACAAGACGGCAAAGCATTTTAGCGGTTAAATGCTATTTTATATTTAATGTCTTTACATATGTTTTCACATGATTAATATATTAGGTCTAAATACGTTTTTTAAATTAATTAAGATTGTTTAATTTCTCTGTTAGAGAAGGATTTTAAAAGTTATTACATGCCCAATATTTCTCCATCTTTTACTCACTGTCTTTTTGCATTTAAACAAAGCCAATTAATATGACACAGACAGCATAAGTCTCAACTTGGGACATTTGACACACCTTTCAGATTGCTATATTTGTATTCAACGGAGACAAACTCTATGTGGACAATCTGCTACTCGTAAGACTGAGTGAAGGACAAAACTTCAATTCTATTTGTAATAAAGAAAATTACACATTTTCCCAAAATATGAGGACCAAAGGAAAACATGTCAACCATCACCAGTGTCATCTTCTATAATGTGAATGTAACAAAACAAATCTTTAGACAACCAGAAACCTCACCAATATTGTCGCAATGTTTGTTTGTAATTGTTTCGATGTGAATTGAACATGCCTCTACTGATTTGTTGTATGTTGACAACTGTGTAATTGAGTAAAATTAAATGTAATTAACGTAAATCAATGTAATGTGTGTGTGTGTGTGTGTGTGAGTAGCATTTTCTTTTAAATGTATTTAACCTCTGCCCATATAAATATTTTAACAAAGTGCATGTGTCAGGGTTGGATTTAGGACTTTATTTGTTTCCCCTTTTGAGATCTAAAACGTTGCACATCCTTTATCTCTTTGACTGCAGCTGTTTTAACGTGAATGCAAAGATGCTTTATACACACTTTACAAAAACGTGCCTTTTCTGCCATTACAATTCAAATGTCTGCCATTAATGGCCTTTTGTCTCAATTAGAATAACCTATTGGAATTAAAGTAAAACGGTCTGACTTAATGGGTCTTTATTGCAGGCATTACAGAGCAGAAAATATATAGTAGTGATTGAAACACTATGATTATTCAAAGTCTGTTTATAAGCTGTCTGTCTCTAAGCCTGCAGAGCAAAATGCAGGCGTGCCAGTGCAAGTTTCTAACCGTATCTTAAACTCAGTTTAGCGGGAACTGCTGCATCTGACGTAGGCGACGCCTTTCAGCCACTGCGCATGTCAGTAATTCTGTCTGTGTTTACCGAGCTGAAGCTGGTTCCTTATTCGTTATTTCCAACACTTCAATCAACTACGCTCAATCAATCACTTGAGACACAAAAAGGTACGTTTTTAGCTTATCTGTGAATGTTAAGCCGATGTAAAATATCAATTATGTGTTACATATATCCCTGGGTTGACATGAAATTAAAATTATTGACGCTAAAATATTGCGTTTAAAACAGAAAAAAATGTCATTTCGACGACTTTTTAAGCAAACCATGTTGCCCTTTAAAGAGACAATCAGTCCTGGTTGGTTTAAATATTGCAACACTTTCATCAGTGGGTCATAGGGTCAGTCACCATTGTATTAACTCCTTCAGAGATGGACAGTGACTTAAAGTGTCAAGCTTTTGGAGACTTTTATTTAAATAAAACCGTCTCCATTTTATAAACCGAAATGAATAGAGCTATACACAAAATTATTAAATCTTGACGCTCATGTATCAACAGAAGACTCTACTGCTTAACTCAAATAGAGGCCACTTTAACAGACATTTATTTAAACGATAACACAGTCTATGGATATGACGCGTCGAAAGCGAAACGCGCTTCGCTGTCGCCCCCTGTTTTGACTCCATGTATGTGTGGCTGCGTATGTCGCCTCCTTTCCTTCACTAGTTTACTTCGTTCCTCACCACTGCTCACCTCCAGCGCTGGCAGCACGATGGCAGCGGCGGCCCCCAACCCGGAGGACTCCGCCAGGAGCAGCAGCAGCAGCGGTACCAGCACGCCCAGCGCGCTCGTCGGAGACGGGGACGCGGAGGAGGCCGAGGACTTCACCTCCTCCTCCCACTGCTCGGAGCTGTCTCGGCGGCAGAACGAGCAGAGGAAGCAGGGCTCGTTCTGCGACGTGACGCTGGCCTTCAGCAGCGGGGTGGCTAGCGGGAGCGTGCAGAGCTGCGAGTTTTCAGCCCACAGGTCGGTCCTGGCTGCGGCTACCGATTATTTCCCCCCTTTGCTTGGAGGACAGTTTTCCGAGTCGTTGTCCGGTCGGGTAGAGATGAAGGAATGGAGCTCGGAACCGGGGCCAGACCCGGATACGGTGGAGAGTGTCATCCAGTTCATGTACACTGGAGAAATACGAGTTAGCACCTGCAATGTACATGAAGTACTGGAGCTAGCTGACAGGTACGCTCTGTTTACAATAACATTTCAGATTGTGTGTCAGAGAGAGAGAGAGAGAGAGAGAGAGAGAGAGAGAGAGAGAGACCTTCTATGGCTGCCCTGTTGCCTAACAAAGTATTGTTTATGTGAGGCCTGGCCTAACTAGTCCAAACAGAGTGGTATCATGTAGTTACAAGGACTGACGTCCATCATATACTCTATGTTCTCTGTTTGCTCAACGCTAGATTCCTCCTGCTGCAGCTGAAGGATTTCTGTGGTGAGTTCCTGAAGAAGAAGCTGAGCCTGACCAACTGTGTGGCGGTGCACAGTCTAGCCCACATGTACACCCTGGACCAGCTGGCTCTACGGGCTGCAGACATGATCCGTCGCAACTTCCACAAGGTTATCCAGGACGACGAGTTCTACACGCTGCCCTTCCACCTGGTGCGTGACTGGCTGTCCGACACCGAGATCACAGTGGATTCTGAGGAGGTGCTGTTTGAGGCCGTGGTGAAGTGGGTGCAGAAGAACCCGGAGGAGCGAAGCCGCTACTTCGAGGAGCTGTTCCGTCTCCTGAGGCTGCCCCAGATCAAGCCCACCTACCTGACCAGGGTGGTGAAAACGGAGCAGCTGGTGGCCGCCAACGAGGCCTGCCTCCGGCTGGTGTCGGAAGCGGTGGAGGGCCACGCTATTCGCTTTGAGAACCTCAAGTCAACCGATATGGAGTTCTGGTCATCCCACATGGCCTCCTTTCAGCCCCGATTTGGCCAGAACATGGACGTTATCATGGTGGTAGGCGGCGTGTCAGAAGGAGGGGACTACCTGAGTGAGTGCGTGGGCTACTTCATTTACGAGGACCGCTGGGTCAACCTGCCGCACATCCACAACCACCTGGACGGGCACGCCATCGCGGCCACAGAGTCCCACGTCTACGTAGCCGGTTCTATGGAACCGGGCTTTGCCAAGACGGTGGAGCGTTACAATCCCAACCGCAACACCTGGGAGCAGGTGAGCAACCTCACCACACGCAAGCACTCTTTTGGCCTCACCTGTATTAAGGATGTACTGTACAGCATCGGTGGCCATGGGAACTTCAGTCCGGGTTTCAAAGACGTCAGCATATACGAGCCTGACCAGGACAAGTGGGTCAATCTGGAGTCTGCGCCCAAAATCCTGCGCGACGTGAAGGCGGTGAGCGTGGAGGACCGCTATGTGTACGTCACGGCCCGCACACCTGTCGATACAGATAATGAGGATGGACTGAAGACGGTGACCACTCGCTATGACACGGAGAGCCGCCAGTGGCAGGACGTTGACTCCCTGCCCCTTATTGACAACTATTGCATCTTCCAGATGGCCGTGGCCTCTACTAACTTCTACCACACGGCCTCCTGCTGCCCCAAGAGCTACACGGAGCGCGAGGAGGTCGCCAAGCAGAAGATCAGCCTACGCATCTCTGATGAGATCCTGGAGAGCCTGCCGCCGGAGGTGACCAGCATCGAGGGCGCTGCCATTTGCCACTTCGACGAGGACGTCTTCATCATCGGAGGCTGGAAGAACAGCGACGACGTGGACAAGCAGTATCGCAAGGAGGCCTACCGCTACTGCGCCGAGAGGAAGCGCTGGATGCTGCTGCCGCCCATGCCGCAGCCTCGCTGCCGAGCTACCGCCTGCCACGCCCGCATCCCCTATCGCTTCCTGTACGGCTGCCAGCGCTACCCCATGCCACAGAACCTGGCCCGCCAGCGGGATCGCATGCAGCAGATGCAGCAGCTTCACCGGCGCACGCTCACTTTACGCCGGCAGCTCCAGTCTCAGATAGAGTGCTGAGCGAGTCGAGTGTTTGCTCGATCGCATGAAACTGCACTGCTCTGTCCGAGGATACACTGCCAGCATTCGGTCCATTGCAGCCACCTTCATCACCCCCCTACATGCACCTGCTGCAGCGGGTCTTGTGTTGCTCTCCTCCTGGATTTCATTAAACTGAACTCTGTGCCATCGGTGTTGTGTTAATGGCTGATTTGTGGAATGCCATGAAATGTGTGCACAGGCGTGCACTGACCTGTGGTCTGTGAGGAAGGATGAGGGGAATGTAAATATGTGATTAAGAGTGTTCTATAGCAGCCAACAACTGAATATCCTTTTTTTTGTCAAGTATGTTGGTAGAGATGCTGTTTATCTGTTTGTACATTCATAGGATAAAGGTGTACGTGTAAACATTTAGATGGATATTTTACATTCCTTTATTGTGTGCCTGTACTTAGGGAGGCTATGTGACATTATTAATAACTGCATTCCTACATTCAATTCAACTCGCTTAATGAAGTCTCATTCCATTTTAACACTGTGACAATCTCTTCATGCAAGTCGAACTTACGTCCAAATGTCTTAACTCTTAACTTGTATTATATTTGCTCTGTTGGAATGGCTGCGCTCGTTTCTGTGCAGCCTCGACAACTAGATAGGAATTATTTCAGAAAGGCTGTTCATCTTAAAATCCCGCAGACTAGATTGCAGTTTCCCTTCAACAGTATATGAAATTGAAATATATTTTTTGTTGCTTGTCTAACACTTGTAAGCTTTCTCCTGGTGTCTGGAGAGGTGAAAATATGAGAGAACTGTGATGTTGAAAAGAGGTGATATGATAAAATAATTCCTTTAAATTATCCTAAAATTGAAATATTCTATTTGTCCACTGCATTAAGCGCCAATCTCTGGCTCAATCATTCCTTTCTTTTGCACTTTGGCAGTCTATTGCTCAAGTGCACATTCCCATTCGCTCGAGAAACATACATTGGAAATGTATTTATATGTGTGTGAGTGCAGAAAGTGTGTATGATTTGTGTTCGCAGAGCTTCTCTACAACTGCACTTTTTGACATTTAATTGTTTGTAAAGTCTTAAAGAAATGTTGGGATTTAAGTTGCCGTTGCACTTTGACTTTGCTTGTTTCATATCAGACGAGGTGATTGTATTTTGGAAAGGCTTGGATTTAGCCGAGTGCATAAGTTTTGATCTTTGGAAAAAAAAAAAAAAAAAAAGGAAATGTTCTCGTTATTCGTGGACTTGTTTCCAACATGCAATGTTTTGTTTTATCCTTGTGTTATTGTACTTAACTTCCACATGGGTGTATATTAGAGACTTGCTATGTTGTTCTGTGGTCTCCTCTGACCCTCCTAATAGACTTAGACATTAGACTAAAATGAATCTGACTGATGGGCAAAACAAACAAATTGTTACATGAATGTGTTGTGACTGACATTCAGAAATTCCAGATGTGCAGCGCCTATTACAGCATAAAGGTTACGGAGCGCAGAAATGATATTCATTTCCACTTTATGACCAACATAAATAGCACTGCAGATATTACGTGGAATAAGCTTTGTAATTTGCTTCGCATGTGATTGTCTGACATTGTGTCCTTGTATTGGATGTAAGAAATGTTGATGTCATCATTTGCAATTAAAGTTGTTTTGTTAGTCAAATGGTTGCACACACACACACACACAGTGTGTTATTGCTTTGTTGGACTTCAAGGAATTACTACCCAGAAATCTTGATGTATAAGAAGCTACAAAAATGCCAACCTCCAATGGCTACTTGTAACAAGCGTAGGTAGGTTGCACTGTCATCAGTGGTATTGACATTCATTATTTAAAAAAATATTAGTGTTTTTGTTAATTTTAGATGCATGCATTCATCTTCATGTATCGGCCCGGTTTTATTCCCTCTATCAATACCAGGACACCGCAGAGAAACCCTGGTGCAGAGCCGGGGTGGGAACCTTGTATCAGGGCCTTTGCTGTTGGGGGAGAACACATACCGTCACACCTCAAGTTATACAAGTAGTGGTGCTGCATTTAGGTCTAGTCTCCCACTTAATATAATGTCAAACGAAGAGAAATGTTTGGTCCCAGAGAATGCATGGCATCTTCACCTTTATTGTATTTTGTGTAGACGGTTCCCATCCATGGTTTATAATAAAAAGTCACGTCTCGGTCACTGAGAAAATAATTTAAAATCAACTATGTACCACTTTGTTTTGTCAGTTAAAATAACATTCCTACACACTCAATAGTACCTGAAGGCAGCATCACCGCTGAAGCTACACCCAGACGATTCAGTCGCATCAGTAGCAACGTTAACGAAACGCATGACGGGAGGCTGAGAGCTGATGATACTTAACCTTAACTGAGCGGCAACCCATTTCAAGAAAATGGTAATCATGTTTGTTTTTAAGTTAAAGCACCAAAAACAACGCACACTCTCATTCAACAACAAAACAAACTAGCTAGCTAGGTTAGCTGAACGTACCTAGCTTAGCTCTTCGCGTTGACGTTAGCTATTTGGCTTTCATAGCTGTATCGCATCACCAAATGTACTGTAGATTATTGTAATAATTATAGCCTCAATATTTGGTAGTAGCACATGTCAGTTAGTTCGCTAAACAGCGGGTTTAAACGTGGTGCTAGCCCCTGACTGGTGAGCTAACTGGCGATGCTTGTTTTGCACGGGTACGATATTGTGTAACAACTTTCTCTTCACCTGTCACATTTTCAACGTTAAGATTCCACAGCTGACCAACTCCTCCGTGTGTATGCGGGACCCTCAGAGGGTGCAGGAGATCCTAGAGTCCATGGTGAAGGCTGGCTCCAACACCGTGCAGGTAACGTTATATAGTGTTTGTCCTAAATGGACAATATAAATGAGTGTAGTTGAAAAATAAAACGTATTTTTTTTTTTTTTTTTTTCCCCATTTGTCAACCAGGTGATCTCAGATTTTGACATGACTCTGACCAGATTTGCATACAATGGCAAAAGGTGCCCTACCTGTCACAGTAAGTCGTCTGACAAGTAAGCTTTAGTTCGATGTTCTCCTGCATTTTAAGGTGGATTTTTAGCTAAACATTGTTGTCACTGAGACTGTGTATTTTATTTTCAGATATTCTTGACAACAGCAAACTCATCTCCAATGACTGCAAAGAAGAGGTACTGTAGTAATGAGGCAGAAGCAGGTTTTCTTTGTTAGGACTGTATATTTTTTATCTACGTGTAAGCCACAACGCAGACATCACAAATATAGAGTTCAACTTGTTGGATCTTACAAGGAAACGGTGTTGGGGAGTAACTGGCTAAATGTAACAGAGTTGCGGTATTAAATTACGAAATAAATGTAATTGTAATCAGTTACGAAGAAAGATTATGTAATTAAATCTCAAAATATTGGCGATGACATCTAAATATATTACTTCCTGCAAAGAGCGCATATGTAGAATAAGACATTCATTCTGTTGCTTTGACAAACTTTTAGTTAAAGTTCAACAGTAATCAGTGTTGAGTACTGTTTACACTGCCTGGTTTAAGTTTATGTTTTTAGGACTTATCAGTTTTATTTGTTAGAAAAGTAATAAAATCAAATAAGTTACATTTCTTTTAATAAATGAAAGTATTATTATATATTACATTTTAACTGTGTAACTAGTAATCTGTAGTAATCTGTAATTATATTTCAAAAGTAACTTTCCCAACACTGCAAGGAAACTATATGTATATATGCGTTTTTTGGAAACGTTTTAGAAATGTTGATGTTCAGACCTTAAGCAATAGACTACCTACAAAAATACAACATTTCATTTGTAATTGATTCATTTGTTCTGTCATTTATAGACTGTCTGCCCTCTAGTGAGCAAGAGGAAGAATTAAAACAGACAAATTGAATCTTCAGTAATGTGAAAGGTTCTTGTTTCAGTCTTCCTGCTGTTAAATCTTCTGTTTCTTCACTTCATTTTTGTATCTTTATTGTGGCATTTTTTTCAATAAGATACATATTGCTTCATTATTATTTGGGGAAATAATTTTATAAATATTTCCTAAATCCCAAGGATATAATCTGACAAAAAGTAGAAAAGTGAAGAGTGTAATTGGGTAAAACGTTAGTTTTCTATTGTCCTGTTGTCTTCCAGCTGAAGGAGCTGCTCAACACATACTACCCTATAGAGATAGACTCTTCACGGTCAATAGCAGATAAACTACCTCTCATGGTGGAGTGGTGAGCATCTAACACAGCTTTTACTCAAATATAATATAATGTATTTGAATGTGTTCATAAACCTGTGCTGCACTTCTATCTCACAGGTGGACTAAAGCTCATGAACTACTGGTACAGCAGGAGATCAAGAAAGACCTGCTGGCCATTGCGGTGCGGGAGTCCAATGCCATGCTGAGGTCAGAAAACCTGCCATTTGATAGTTTAAATGTTAAAAACATTGTGTTATGCGTGTGTGTACTTTAATAATGAGTTCTTTTCACAGAGACGGCTACCAGCTCCTTTTCGACCACCTGTATGAGCACAGCATCCCTCTGCTCATCTTCTCTGCTGGAATAGGAGACATCCTGGAAGAGGTCATCCGCCAGATGGGAGTCTACCACCCCAACGTCAAAGTCTTCTCCAACTACATGGACTTCGACGAGTCTGTGAGTAGCCGCGCCGCAAACTACCGATGTGTTGAGAGTGAAGCGATGTATTTGACTCTTCGTCTGCTGCCACAGGGAGTGTTGAGGGCTTTCAAGGGAGAGCTGATCCACATCTACAACAAAAGGGAAGGTGCGCTGCTCAACACCGGCCACTTCCAGGAGCTGCGTACGCGGCCTAATGTGCTGCTGCTGGGAGACTCTCTGGGAGACCTGACCATGGCCGACGGGGTGCAGGACATGGAAAACATCCTCAAGATCGGGTTCCTCAATGACAAGGTCAATAAAATCCCATTGTTGTTTCTATTTTTGTTTATTTGAACTCTCTCCCACTTTGTACTGCAACTGTTGCACAATCATTTTCAGTCCCTGCAGCCCTAAGATAAATGTCAGAGCACCAGTACATTCATATCTACCCTCTAAACAAATAGTACGCTCCCAATTTTCACCATGTTAAAGTCTATTTTTTAACCCTGGATCCCATTCTCCCATGTTTTTGTGTCTAACTGACTAATAAGGACAAGAAGTTCTGAAATTGCTCCAGTATTGAGCGAGAGCGCTGCAGACACAGGCTGCAATGTAATCATATCGGTGCAATTTGGCTCCATCACTTTACGTCCACTGAAAGTGCTTGTTTTTGCCACCGACAGGCTCTGGTTGTTTATAAGTGTCTGACAAAAAAAAAATACTAAAGTTACCATTTAAATAGTCATATTCTGACATTAATAACACTTCTCCATTTGTTTTTCTCTCAGGTGGACGAGAGGAAACAGTCTTACTTGGACTCGTACGACATTGTGTTGGTAAAAGACGAGACCTTGGAAGTCCCCAATGCGATAATGCTCTACCTTACTGGCAATAAGTGAACACATCACTGGCCCTTTTGTATTTCACACTCCGGCCCCATCAGTTCAGGAGGGCCCCTGCTCACAGAGGGCCAGTTTGAAGGCTTATTTACTGGCAGCCAAGAATGTTTCATGATCATTTTATTTTACGAAGTTATTCACGAGTCCAGTCAGCCGCATCCCTCTTTTATGTCTTTGTCAATCGGCCCTCCTCATGTTCATAGTAACACTGTATTTGCACCACACTGGACGTGATGGAAGCCAGATTTACACCGTCTACCTACTCTGCAGCATGTGAAGAGTGTGTGTGCGAGTGTGTGTGGGTGTGGGTGTGTGGAAGAGATTAGATTGCTTTGGTCTTCATATAGGATGTAATGATAAAGGGAAAGAAAAGGGCAGCACTTGATATCTGGTTTGAAACTGGTCTCCAGCCTTTCACAATAAAGCTCATTTCCAGCCATTTTTACTCTGAAACCTGCCGTTTTTAAAAAAGGTTTAATGATTTTCTTACAGTGTCAAGTCTTCTATTTCTGGTCATATTGTCAAGCATTCAGCACAGGTTCTAGTTTTTATGAAAACAAGTGTTTTTCTTGTGTAACACCACACTATGACACTACTATGACATCAGCACCCGACTTCAAGAGTGAAATAAAAAGCTATTTTTTAAAGTACGGTGAGAGGTCAAGTTATTTGTAAGAACTAACTGTTACCTCAAATTTTGTAGTATTACAAAGAAAAACATTGATTCAAAAGTCTGCTACTTTACACATTGTAACAAACTAAAGTGTCATAAAATGACTTATTTATTTCTTTAATTTTCGGACTATGTGCCATTTTTTTGTCCGAACTCATTTCCTTTTCATATGTTCCAACTTGTCTCAAATAAAAAAGTGGTTCCACCCATTAATGATCATGTTTTATTATGCCTTAGCGCTGGTGACAGCTGTGGCCAGAGGCATTATGTTTTCGGGTTGTATGAAACATCCACTTAGACTCGAGGATGATTTAAATTAGGTGGTCACTGTGACCGTGAGAACAAAATGATGACATGAACGTAAACGCATACAACCATGAGGCGGCAATTCTACTTAAAGTTTGAATGAATGAAAAATGTTAAAACTGAGGCTAATGAATTGAAGTCTACCAAACTAATTCACTGGTACATTGATAGTGTGGAAGAAATAAAGCAGGTGTTGTCATCATTTTTCTATAAAAGTTTATTTTATGTTTTACAACACTTATTATATAATTGTACAAACTTACCACTCATACACTGTACAACCCATGTTTTTTCTCAACATTTTTATATGAGGCACTGCATCGACTACTCATTTTATAAAGTCATATTTTGGAAGAAGGGCCCAGCCCAAATGCGTGCGTGGGTAGTTCAATGTGAATCTTTCTGTCTTTTTTTCAACATGACGCAATTTCACTACAGACCATCGTTCTTCCTTTCACATTTTTCAAACACTCGTTTCCTTTGCACAACATATTTTAACAGAATCTAGCAAAGCAGACTGCTCGACTGCCTTTAAATAAAAGGCTCAACAGTGTTTCAATCCCAGTAAAGACTGGGATTGAAACACTGCACGCCGGCTCCTTACCACCAATTAAATATCGCTCGCGTCCCCTTTACAGCTCGTCTCGTCTCGCTTGCTCAGGCTCGTCATCCAGTTCACCTTCTACAATCTTCCCATCTTTATTGCGGTCCTGGTTATTGAACATGTCCTTAATGATGCCATCGGCATCAACCCCTGGCCGAAGACGACCTTTGCCCTCTTCAACTTGTAGCATGATGAAGGCCGAAAACTGGAGACAATAGGAGACAGTTAAAAGCATTCTCCCTGCCGATACATTGAGCAGGAAGCTGGTTAGACGGGACCTCGCTTGTCTGCTTACCTCCTCTAGAGGAACCTCTTTGTCACCATTGAGGTCCATAGCGGGAAAGAGGGGATCTGGGCCGTCTCCCAGCCACACGAACATGTAGCCTTCAGGCACACCCTTCTTCAGCTCCACCAGCTCCAGCTCAAAGAAGAGCACTGCACTCCTGGGAACTTCTCCAGCTGGCGACACCCAAAATTTGAACACACTTTAATTTAACCTGAATCACGTTTTCTCTTGAGTGCAGTCCGAGTCGTGCCAATGACTGACCTCCATTTTCACCATGGCCCCAGTGTGGTGGAACGACCACCTCCCTCCTCTCGCCCACACACATGCCACCCAAACCTCGCTCAAGACCGGGGATCACCTTGTCCGCTCCGAGATTCGTGATGGAAGGTGCGTCGAACTGGTCCCTGGAAATGGACACATGACCTGTTACTACCACTCTTAACAGTGGGGGTTTAAAAAAACAACTTCTGAACATGCAGGCACATGTGTTGTCGTCATGGATAGGTAAAATGGTATATCTGTCAGACAAGCAGTGATTACATGCAGGAAGCAGGAGGAAGGGGATGCAGCGTAGCAGAGGGCGCTCACGAGGAGTACAGCAGGGTGCCGTCCATCAAGGAGCAATTGTAACGATACTGAATCAAATCGTCCGCTTCAGTGGTCGCTTTGCAATCCCGAGGCATGTGGGTAACTTTAATATCGACCGGGTCTTTGGGGTTGTGGAAGTCAATGACATGAATGTCAAAGACCAGCACAGCTGAGGCAGGGATGAGGTCTCCTACAGCGGGAGGAAAGAAAATATAAACAAGACTAGTCGGTGCAGTCCAAGTGTTTTCTGAATCCTCCTAAATGCAGTGCGTGAAACTCACCAACTCCCCCTTCGCCATACGCCATGTGAGGAGGGATGGTGATCCTTCTCTTCTCTCCCATGCACAGCCCGTGCAGGGCTTTGTCCATCCCTCGGATCACGTACCCCATGCCGATGTAAGTGTTATAGGTGCTGTTTCGCTCGTAGCTGTCAAGGAAAAGCGTTAAAACTCTTAAACGCTGCGTGTGTATTTTACAGCTTTCTGAGGAACGGAGGAATCTCAAGAGGTTTACCTCGAGTCGAAGGCCGTGCCGTCCTGGAAGCTACCGTTGTAGTGGTAGCGGATGTAATCTCCAGTCAGCGTCCTGCGGGTGCAGCCTTCAGGCGCCTCCTTCACCTCTACAATCAGATCATCCTTCGGGTTGAAGACGTCAACCAGCAGCACTTCAAACACCAGCGTAGCCTGAGGAGGAACCTGAGTTCCTGTTAGGAAAAGAATAAGACTTTCAGTCTATATCTCACAGTTTTTATGTCCATACCAGCCAAATATACTTTACCTTAATGTGGATCATTTTTCAAAGCGTACTCTAAACTTCCAGGCAGACATTTTTGTTTCGTTCATATTGGTGTGACTTGCTGAGACAGTGAGTTGTGTGTAACATGAGGAATTCATTCTTTTTGTGGACTTTCCTCAAAACTAAGTGCATCCAGAAGGTCAATAATCAAACATGAACACTCTGCTGTTGAATGACATTCATATTATCAGTCTTGAGTTTCACACGTGTACTTGAATACACCTACAATAAAGGAAATTAAAAAAGTTAAACAATATTAGATGACTTATCTAAAGCCCCTTTCACACTATTACGTAAATCTTCCGGCACGTTTGCCATCATAGCACACTGACATGAACAGAAACCAGTGGTTGCTTTGGATAATGACCAACAGTAAGGAAATGTATTGTGTGATTTGTAGTTATTGTCAGATTTACAGTTCAAATCCAAGTCTAACAAGGTCCTTTGAAACATAAATGAATATATACAAATAGTAATAATTGTAGGTGAGCGAGTTTCAAATGCTAAACTTAAATTTTTTGGTATTTGAGATGATTAGATATTAAGCACAGTCGTCTTGTACATTACTAGTTAGTACCGTGGCCAGTCTCTCCATACGCCAGGAAGGGCGGGATGATGACGATCCTTCTCTCCCCGACGCACATGCCCAAAAGACCCTCGTCCATGCCTTTGATGAGGTCGCCCTGTCCCAAGTAGGTGTCATAGGTCGCATTCCTCGAGTAACTAAAAATCGAAACACAAAGTTGTCTTGAGAGTCACAGAAACAGACAAAGAGCTTCCTGAATGTCATAAAAACCTACGCTCACCTGGAGTCGAAAGCTGCCCCGGACAGCAGGGTGCCATTATAGCGGTAGCGGAGGAAATCTGATGCCACGGTGGTGCGGTGGCAGCTGGCAGGTTTGCCGAGTGTGCGGATCTGGACCTTGTCCTCAGCGTTCCATATGTCCAGCAGGAGCACATCATACACCAACACAGCGTCAGGAGGGACCACACCACCTGTGGGTATAAACAACACGGATTGACACAAACCAGCACAGGTGATGTGTCCAACAGGGGGGGGCTGACTGTCCTGTTCATCCGCACCTGTTCCGATGCTCCCATAGGCCAGGTGTGGGGGGATTGTGATCCTCCTTTGTTCATTGACACACATGCCCTGAAGACCGCGGTCCATCCCTGTGATGAGTCTGCCCAGGCCGACCTGGCTGATGAAGGCTTTGCCTCTGTCATGACTGGAGACATTAAGGGAGAGGTGGAGGAGAGTCGAGCAGGTAGAAGTGTCAAAAATATTAGGCAACGTAAGAAGAAGAACAAAAGAGGAGGATGGTTGTATGAACATTTTATTGTTCTATAAAGTCAGAATCCCCAAAAAAATCCATCCACATCAGCAGCATTATTCAAAAGGACATCATTTCCTTCTTGGCCTCACTATGATCAGCTGGTTATTTTACATTTAATTTGCAAAACCTGGGGAGGTTGCTTGATGATTGGCCACAAATATCCACCACACCATAACCTCATTATAGAAACATTGAGGGGGACACTGTTATCAACGTGCAATGGCGTTTGACACGTTTGCAGTCCTTATCTTGTCTTTGAATCCATCAGGGAAATGGTTGTATTCCTGTATTTTATGTGCGTGTAGTGTCGATACTAATCGACGTTACTGAATAGGCTTTTGCACCGTTTTAACAACTGGAAATACTATTTCTGCAAGAGTCAGAACTGTATTCTTACACGCTGTATGTTAGTTATATTGTCGGTATGTTGTTACCGTAGCTGGTTCTCAACTTTAAACATAAAAGCCAACATTCCCTGTGACTGAACGCAGTCTAAATGAACTTAAATGGTGCATTCCGCTGTAACTTCACCTGGAGTCAAACTTTTTCCCATCTGCATAGAAGGTACCGTTAAAATGATAACGGATAAAATCTTCTGTTTGCACCTCTCGGGGACACACTTTCGGGATCTCGTACCGGTCCACAACAACATCCACTAACGGCCCCGGGTTGCAATTCACAATGACGTCATGAAGGCAAAACACAACCGTTAATATTATCAGATCCATTTGGAGAATTGCGACAATAACTGCGGAAGCTCGCGGGGTCTGATGAAGGAAGAGAGTAATGTTACCGACAGAAGTCTGGTCCACAGTGGCGATGTGTCAAGACACCTGGAATGAGAGAGAGTACTTCCGGTTACGATTAAAAAATAAATGCCTTGACTATTTCACAATTTTACATCACGTGCAGTCCAGACACTTTTATGACATTTATGTGACATAAAATAATATGACTTTTTAATGATATTTTTGTCATGTTATTCTATGACTTTTTTTCGACATGCTATTCTATGACTTTTTACGACATGCTATACTATGACTTT